TCGGGTCCGACTCGACAGCACATGACAACAACAACAACATACTTAAGATTTGTGCACTTTACTGTATATAAATTATACCTCAATAAAAATGTAAATGAAAACAAATGTGCTGTGTGCTATGGGTTTTTATAGGTTCAGAAAGTTAATCTTTGGATTCTCAAAATGCTTTCATTGATAGCCTGCTTATTTTAGATACTTATTTTTCTTGAATAGAATGAATTGATTATAAATAATGACAATTGATCAATCTTTTTAGTATAGGTCTTTACTGTAATCTGCTTCCAAACAATCTTAATTGCCAAGATCATAAAATCATAGATTTTAGGAGATGAAAAGTTGCTTAGAAACTTGTTCAGCATACCTTGACCTTTTCTGCAACATGGATTCTTTTGAGATTCTGATGAAAACAAAGCTATAGACCTTCTCCCAAGAAATATGCATAAGCACAAAATTTTGCATAGGATTTGGAGATTAACATACCATTAAACCTGTACTGGGACTCACTTAGGAGCCCAAAGATCTCAAGTTAAACCAACCAATCTTTTTCCTATAGTTGAAGAATAAGGAGTTCTGGTGGTGTAGTAGGTAAGGCACCTAGCTGCTAACAGAAGGTTGGTGGTTCAACCCATCAACACTCTGTGGGAGGAAGCCAAGCCTTGGAAATCCAATGAGGGTTGCTATGAATTGGAATTAACTTGATAGCAGTGGATTGGGTTTGGGGTTTGTTCTGGTTACCTAGTGCTGCTCTAACAAGAATACATACCACAAATAGGATGGCCTTAACAAGCAGGAGTTTATTCTTACAATTTGGAGGCTTTAAGTCCAAATTCAAAGTGTCATGCTCTAGGAGCTAGAAAGGGCGAAAGCCCCTCACCCGTGGGGTTCAGCTCTGCCTCCTGCTCCTGGCCCACTGGAGCTAGAGGTGTTTCTTCACTCAGACAGCTGCTGGCTCCTGAAGCTGAAAAGCCCAAGGTTGACAAGTAAAAAGGAGCAGTCCCGATGTTACCAAATCACACGGCAGGCCATTAATTTAAGTTCATTGTAAGTCCCAATGTCGGCAGAGTGTGGCAGGCTGCTGAACAACAACATGGCTACATGCAGGGTCCAAGCGTGCCATAAGCTAGAGACTATCCCCAAGGCTTTTGTGTATATACAGGAAGCAGACCACATCCCAAAGGCAATGACTCAGCTGCTTGTGGTAGATCCCACCATGGAGGTGATTGCCAGTCCCATCATGGGGAATAACTACCACCAGCTGCCCAGCCATTCAACCAGGCCAAGCCAAGTTGACATACAAATTTAACTACCACAGGGTTTTTTTTGGTAAGGTCCCAAGGAAGGAGCCCTGGTGGTACAGAGGTTAAAGCACTTGACTACTAATCAAAAGGTTGATAGTTTAAACCCACCAGCTACTCCAAGGGTTAAGGATGTGGCAGTCTGCTTCTATAAAGATACAGCCTTGGAAACCTTATAGAAATTCTGCCTTATCGTATAGGGTTGCTGTGAGTCCAAACTGACTCTACAGCAGTAGGTTTTGGTTTGGAAGGGCCCAGGGAAAGAAAGTAACCACTTTAGGAGCCAAAGGAAGATCCCAAGCCCAGACATTTTTTTTTTCCCCGGAAGGAAGGTTGTTTGTTTTAATGAAATCAACTAAAATATTGCCTGTATTTACACTCTGAAACTTTTCATTCTGTTCTGTGTTGATCTTTATAACAGTGAAAAGATCACATTGAACATACTCTTTGCTCTGTAAACCTCTCACTGGTCTCTGACCAAAAACAATAAAATTCCAACCTGACTCAGTAATTCTCTGTGATGTCCATACATTTATGCTGCCTACCTCACTGGTTCTGTAGACATCATTAGATTCCCTTTGCCCCAAAACCTCCATCTATGGAGCCCTGGAGCTTAGAATAACTTCCCATAATACATTTTATTCTACTCTTTGTTATCTGTAGTCACATTAGAAGCTGCTCAAAGATTACCTTGTACTCATTGGCACACAATAGGAAGAAAGCTGAGTCCTTTATATTAAATAAGGACATTTATCTTTGAAGCCTGCCTCAAAATCCAGAACTTAAGTTAAAATGACCTGGTTTAAAAAAAAAAAAAAAAAATTGTTATGCAGGGAGGGTTGTTTGTTTTAATGAAATCAGCTCTAAAATACTGCCTATATTTACACTCAGAAACTTATAATTCTGTTCTGTGTTGATCTTTGTAACATTAGAAAGATCACATTGAATATATTCTGCTCTGTAAACCTCTCAATGGTCTCTGACCAAAAACAATAAAATTCCAACCTGACCCAGTAAATCTGTGTGATTTACGCCTACTCACTTTTTCGGTTTGGAACAGGACTCTTGCTCCCAATTCAAACAGAGGCAGTGAGAGGTGAAAGTGGGCCCAGAAAGCCTTTTCTTCCGTGTGAAAGGCCTGATGGTAAGTGGAACAATCAATAAAGAAAAGGCTCAAGCTGCAGCCTACAAATTTCTTTGGGCCCCTCAATTGCCATTAACAACAATGGTATACTAGGAATGAGATGGAGAAATTACATAAACCAATAGATACACAACAACAACAGCAGATATATATGGAAGAGAAGCTACATGTACATGCATTATATCTGTAAAGGTTTTGCTAGGTATTTGCTAAGCTATTCCTTTTGTGCAATCTTTTTTACTTTTGCACTTGCATGGATAAAAGTCAAGTATATGTAAAAATATCCATCACCCATCTGTCAGCCTGTCCTACTGTGGTGGCTGAGGTGTTGCTATGATGCAGGAAGCTATTCCACTGGTATCTCATACCAGAAGGGTCACCTATAGTGGGCAGGTTTCAGGGGAGCTTCCAGACTAAGTTGAAAGACCTGGCCTTTGATCTACTGCCAAAAATTTGCCAGTAAAAACCTCATGGATCACAGAATAGCTTACTTTGGACCAAGGAGCTCTGGTAGTATATTGCCTAAGGCACTTGACTGCTAACCAGAAGGCTGCGGTTCAAACCCACCAGCTACTCCCTGGAAGGAGGATTGGGCAATCTACTTCCACAGTGATACCACCTTGGAAACCCAAGGGAGGGTTGCTATGAGTTGGGGCCGACTCCACGGCACATAACAACAACTTTAGACCAGGAGCTCTGGTGGCATAGTGCCTAAGGCATTTGACTGCTAACCAGAAGGCTGGAGATTCAAACCCATCAGCCACTCCTCGGAAGGCAGGTTAGGCAATCTACTTCCATAGCGATATCGCCTCAGAAACCCAAGAGAGGTCGCCATGAGTCGGATCTGACTCCACGGCAGCGGTACTACTTTGGACCAGCCATAAAGAGGGTCTGATCGCTGAAGAAGGACATCCTGTTTAGTAAACTAGAGGACCTGCAAAGGCAAAAGGAAACCCTCAATGAGATGAACTGACACAATGGCCGCAACAATGGATTCAAACATACTAATGATTATGAAGATAGCATAGGATGGGGCAACATTTCATTCTGTTATGCATGGGGTCACCACCAGTCAGAGCCTGCTCGCTTGCTGGCAACTAACAACATATATAAATGTATAAAAGTCAATTATATGTGATAATAAAAACTTCCATGAGCATTTTACCATATGTGCCAGCTACTAAACGCATTGTTGTTGTTAAGGCAGTCGAGTTGGTTTCAGTTCATAGAACGAAACATTGCCCCATCCTGCACCATCTCGAAATTGTTTTTATGCTTGAGCCCACTGTTGCAACCACTGTGTCAATTCATCTTGTTGAGGGTCTTCTTTATTTCTGCTGACCTTCTACTTTGTTGTTGTTGTTGTTGTTTGCCATCGAGTCGGCCCCGACTCATAGCGACCCCTCCTTGGGTTTCCGAGGCAGTATCACTACGGAAGTAGGATTGCCCAACCTTCCTTCCGAGGAGTGGCTGGTGGGTTTGAACCACCAGCCTTCTGGTTAGCAGTCAAGTGCCTTAGCCACTATGCTACCAGAGCTCCCGACCTTCTACTTTACCAAGCGTGATATCCTCCTCCAGGGACTGGTCCCTCCTGATAACATTACTAAAGAAGGAGAGAGGAAGTGTCTCCAATCCTCACTTCTAAGGGGCATTCCAACTGTATTTCTTCCAAAGCTGATTTGTTTGTTCTTCTGGCAGTCCATAGTATATTGAATATTCTTCACCAACACCATAATTCAAATGCAACAGTTCTTCTTTGGTTTTCCTTATGTATTGTCCAGCTTTCACATGCATATGAGGTGATTGAAAATAACTAAAAACTATCTTGAGTCAGGCACACCAGTGTCATAGCGTCCACCATCATAGCCACACACAAGCTAGCGTAGTATGACAAAGTGACAGACGAGTGGTGGATACTTTATACACTGCCTAATTTAATCTTTACAACAACTCAAAGGTAACCTTATTACGGTGGCTACTTATAAATGAACAAATAGGTTCTCAGAGGCCAAGTAACTTGGCCAAGATCCCATAACTTGTAAGTGGTGAAACTGAGCATCACACAGGAACATATCTTACATGAGTTTGTTTGCCCTGCTGTGGTAAAAAATGTAGATATACACTGAAGGCTAGATCTTCTACCTTGCTAATTGAAGGAAGACAGGACGGATACATGGAGTGGACATACGGTTTCTAGCTTCAAGGAGGCTAAGTGGAGGAGACTGGGCAGAGTAGAGTGAGGGCGTGTTTTCAAAAGCGGGTCACGAGGCCGCAGAAAGAGCCACGGGGGTGTTCCTAGCCTTCGGTCCAGGTCACCTTACTATATTCCTGGGCTGGCGGTAGCCCGCCACCTCGGCGAGCCCCGCCCCAGCACCTCGCGGCCCAATCAGTGACGCAGCCTAGAGTCCCGCCCCTTGCCGCGGCCATATAGGGCTCGGCCTTGCGGCACCAATGCGCCGTTGTTGGCTGGGCCTTACTCTGTGAGCGTTTTGGGAGCAGTGGCCGCCGCCCCCCACCTCCACATTCTGTCCTTCTCCGCCTACGCTGAGCCGCCCCTCTCCCGCCGCCTGCGAACGGCCGACGCGGTCTGGAACCCAGCCCGCCTCTCCCCTCGCTTCTTTTTGTGTCCGCGACGGGCTGGCGGGATGTATCTGGGCCCGAGGCCCGCGGCGCTGGGGCTTTTACTGATGTGCGCCGCCACAGCCCGCGCCGGCAACGCCGAGGAGCTGCACTACCCTCAGGGCGAGCACCGCACAGACTACGACCGCGAGGCGCTGCTGGGCGGCCAGGTGAGGCGGCCAGGCCGGGGCTGGGAGGGCCGGGCCTCGCGCCGCCGGCCACCTCTGCTGGCTTTGTTCTGGGACAAAGGGGGACGGCTGGGCGAGGCCCGGCCGGGTCGACCTGACAATGGGGCCCGGGCGGGGCGCAACGATGCTCTTGGTCCCTGCTACTCGCTCTCTGGGGGAGCCCTAGGCCTCTCTGAGCCTGAAGAAATGGCGCAGCCGGGGAGCCAGCCCCTTCTAAGAGACCTTCTACTGTCTGGACTTGGGGCAGGATCATTGAGGGTGTGTGTAGAGGACATGGGCCCTAGAGAACAAATGGGGTTACCCCGAAACTCCTCGGCCAAGGAAGGCTTCTGGTAACCAACCCCCCCCCCCCCGCCGTTTTGGTCCATTGATAGTAATGCTTGCCCCTTGTGTATCGCTTCCCCCCAAAGGATGAAGTCGATGAATATGTTAAACTCAACCCCGAAGAGCAACACACAAGACTGAAGTCAATCATAAAGAAAATTGACTTGAACTCAGATGGCTTTCTCACCGAAAGTAAGAACGGTCCTACATAACTAACAATAGAGAAATCCCTTTGTAGGAGACAGAAGCGCAAAACGTTTTAAACAAGGGTGTCGGTTGAATATAGATTGCTAGTGTTTTAACAAATTATAGATATTCTGAGAGGGGAAAAAATGGTATTGAGAGTAGCTTAGACATAGGGTACCAAGTACAACTCAGTGTTTTCCAGTAAGTTATAAACATCATTAACCCTGCACAATATGTGTAATTCATACCTTGAAGGCACCTTTTTTCTCAGGTGACTCTTTTTTCTTCATGTCAGCAATATGATTCCTTTTACAGAAATATGCCAAAAACCTTCTGAAGACATTAAGTGATTTGTTGATTTTTTGATATGCTTCATTAGAACGAAGCTCTTTTTAAAAGGCAAGTAGGAGAAGACCTGTTGCATGTGAATTATGTTTATCACATGTTAGAACTGGGAGGGGCTTGAGAATCATCTTGTCCATCTCTCTCATAGAGGTGAAGAAACTGAAGCCCAGAAGAATGTGTCTTTTTCAAATAATCGATAAATCCAGGACTCATGCACCTAATTTAATTTTTAATATCCTTCACTTAAAAAAAAAAAACAACAACACAGTGTTCTTAGGTAGTAGCTTCTTTAGTTGAAAATCAAATATGCAGATTATTAAAAGAATGTTCTAAATGTCTGTACGAGTGTTTCTCCCCATTGCTTAATTCAAATGATGAACCCTTTCAACTTTCAACTATAAGTTGATTCTTATAGAAAGATTCAGAAGGTAATTATGTGATCATAAATTAGTTCCTTTGCAGTAACTTTGCAGTTGCTGGAGATTGAATAGTAAGCTGACTGGTGAATTTAAGATGTGTTATCAGTGAAGTATTCATATTGGTGCCCTCAAGAATATTAAAGTTGTGGTTTCTTCTAAAAAGCAAGCAAAAAATCTTTGGACTTTAATTATCCAATAAGAAAAAGTCCATATTTGGTTGCACTAGAATGCACACAGAATAAGTTGATTTACAAGAATATGTGTTATCTTTCTGCAGTGTTGGAAGGTAAGCAGGCTTACTTGTGCTGACTTAATAATCAATAGTGAGCTATTTCACATTTTTTCACCATATTAAAGATTCTGCTTCTAGGTATGGCTGGCATCTGTCTCTCCCAACTCCACAGCACTGCCCTACAGAATCATTGCCTCTTTTCACATTTACAAGCCCTGACAGTGATGAGTACGCAGTAAGCAAGGTAAGCATGGGCTTACTTGTACTTACTTACTAATCTATAGTGAACATCTTCACATGCTGGGGGTGAAACACACAAACTGTTCACTACAGATTACTAAGTAAGTACAACAGTTTCACATGAGTTTCATCACGTCATGTGGTAAAAAACATGTCAAACAGTGCACTACAGATTAGTAAGTAAGCACAAGTAAGCTTGTGCTAACCTTGCTTATTGGGTACTCTCCCCGGCCTTTCTGTTATGGCCTGAATATCTTTAAATATTTAACCATAAACATTAAAAAATTTTAAAGCTAAAAGATGAGAAAACAAAGAGTCTGAGAGGGTAAATTGCCCTTATGCGGCAGAGCTGAAACTAGAGCTCATGTTTCTGATTCCTGTTCCATTCTGTTTTTTACTGTGCCACTTTAAATAATTAGAAGACAGACTCTTGACACTTGAGGAAATCCTCCTTCTACTTTGGGCCCCCTCAGGAAATTTTGCTGATTTGCACTTTGAGGTCAGGACTTGATCAGAGAGGTTCTTAAGAAGTATCAATATTGAGTAGAAGAAGTTTGGGCTTTGAAGCCAAAACATAGATTCGTAAACCTTAGTTTCCTCAACTGTAAAATAGTCATGATAATAATTACCTGTTTGGAAGATTAGAGACAATGTATATAGAGGAATTGGTACATAGTAATTAGATACCTGGTTGTCATAATACCAGATATTGTTGGATTGAGCTTCAGGAAAAAATATACTAGATATACTAGATCTCCCCCAAACCATACAGGGGTACCACTCTTTAATTCAAATTGTCTATTACCTTTAAACCAATTGGTGTACTCCTGTAAATTTTGCCCTTGCGGATTCATGTTTTTCTGCTTTTTTAAAATGTCATATTGTAAATATTGCTATGAACACACTTAACAGTTAATCTCAAAGTAAGTATTTGGGTTTAGAAACTTTCCCATGCCTTTTAGTACAAAGTCAAGACAACTATTGCAGAAGGGCATAAATTATGATTGCTGCTCATAACTTTGTTAAAATTTCCTCCAGATGTTTTATGATATGGTGAAAGGGAATGTACTATCACTGTTTCCCAAGCTTTAGTCAGGTGAATAACTTCTTACAATTTAGGCCATAGCCACGTATTTCCTTTAACTCAACTTATTTAAGAGAATTTATTTTAAAAGAAAACTATGTCACTTTTTGTAAATAAAAAACACTGTATTTTTAATACTAAATAAGTTATTCAAGTAAAAAACATTTATGCTTCCTGGAAGATTTTTTGGTAGTTTGCAAAGATTATCTGCAATTTATTGGATAATATTTTTTTTAAAAAAAGTCAAGTGCTATTTTGACCAATTGGTGTAATTCATTCCATAAATATTTGCTAAGTCAGGTACTTCCTAGGCACTTGGTATCCATCAGTGAACAAAACAGACCCAAACTCTCTGCACTCGTGGAGCTTACATTCTCATGATCACATACTATAATATTCTTAGACTCCAAAGAGCTCTCCTTCCTTGCCTTTGTTGATATCTGTACAACTAGGCCAACTCCTCATTCAGTATTTGCACACACTGATGATGTTTTTTCCCCTAATTATCTTTTGAAGAAGGTTTAGAAATCTAAGTATCAGTTACTGTTGCATTAATTATATTTTGTAATTCTCATAGGTGAACTCAGTTCATGGATTCAGATGTCTTTTAAACATTATGCTATGCAAGAAGCAAAACAACAGTTTGTCGAATACAATAAAAACAATGATGATACTGTGACTTGGGATGAATACAACATTCAGATGTATGATCGAGTGATTGACTTTGATGAGAACACTGCTCTGGATGATGCAGAGGAGGAGTCTTTTAGGCAGGTGAGTACAAGCTGTTCTTTTTGATCGTATCAACTTTACTTTCCCATGTGAATAAGCACAAGAGGGCCTGAGATCACAGACTGGATTGCCTTGTTCTCTAAGCAATCACCTGTTCCGCTTCAGTGGTCATGTTTATGGTTTCCTTCCTTTCTACCAAATTTAGGCCTTTTACTTTTACTCTGTACTACCTGATAGCTGTGCATCTGTTTGTGCCACTGTATCATTTACCCTCATGTCAGAGTAGCTTCTTTATATACTCCAGATCTGTATTCCAGTATTTTATTTTTAACATCATTATTGGTCAGTTTTATATCATGCTTACTAGGAAGACTATAAGTGACTCATTAACATTTTTAAGCACATAGGTTTTTTTAATATATAAAATAACTCATTTTTCAAAACTCAGTATCACTGAGTTCTGGTGTCTCCTATCATTTAATTTGTCAAAATTTATATGCTGCTTATCCAAGCAGAGCTGAGGAAGACTGTTTCTATTTAGGAATTAGTAAATAATGTTTCAAGACTTTTCAGTTAGGAATTAGTAGGAACTTAAGGCCTGTTCTGGTTACTTAGTGCAGCTCTGACAAGAATATACCACAAATAGGATGGTCTTAACAAACAGGAGTTTATTCTTACAATTTGGAGGCTAGAGGTCCAAGTTCAAAGTGCCAGGCTCTAGGGACTGTGTGAAAGCCCCTTGACCTTGAGGTCCAGCTCTGCCTCCTGCTCCTGGCTTACTGGAGCTAGACGCATTTCTTCACTCAGCTGCTGGTTGGTGAGGCTGAGAAACCCAAGGTTGACAGGTAAAAAGGTGCAGTCCCGATGTTACCAAACCACATGGCAGGCCATTAATTCAAGTTCATTGTAAGTCCCAAGGTCAGCAGAGCATGGCAGGCTGCTGAGCAATGACACAGCTACATGCAGGATCCAAGTGTGCCATAAGCTAGAGACTATTCCCCAAGGCTTCTGCTTATATACAGGAAGCAGACCACATCCCAAAGACAGCTACTCAACTGCTCATAGTAGATTCCACCATGGAGTTGATTACCAGTCTCATCATGGGGAATACTCATCCAGTTGCCCAGCTACTTAACCAGACCCAGCCAAGTTGACACACAAACTGAACTACCACAATTCCACCCCTTGTCAACTTGGCATCTATATAGATCTTCATAGGGTGGCATCTGTACAGCTCTGTCTTAACTAGGTGGCTCCAGTGCCCTAGTTCCTCAAAGTGGCAACCTCAGCCCCTTGGCCTGGTGGGCCCCTTTCCTCTCCCTCTTGGGCATGGCAGCCCTGCCCCCTCACTCTTGGGCAGCAGCTATGGCTCCATCCCACTGGCTCACAAGAACGAGCAGCCCCACACTCCAGAACCAAGTTGGTAAAGGCCTAGCTCTTTGAAACCTGGGGAGCTGTGGTGGTCTACCCCCAAAGGCCATGGTCCTACCCTTTCAGGCTGAGGCAGCTTTGCTTCCGTTTTCCTTGGTCTCTCTGCTTCTGCTGATTAATGCTGAAGGCAACCCACTCTGAGGAGATCTTCCAGCTCTAAAAACACTCAGCTTTCTGGCTCCATGGGCCGGCCAGCCTGCTACTCCCTTTTATGCCAGTCTTTTCTAGCAATTAATACCTGAAGGCAACCCACTCCGCTAGGAAACCGTCTACCTAGTGGCACCCGGCTTTCTCCTCCGTGGGCTGGTAAGCCTGTTGCTGTTTAATGCTGGTCTCTGGGCTCTGCTGCTGTCATTTCTCATGTTGGTCTGTTGGCTCTGCTCCTGCTGCTTCTCATGCCAGTCTCTTGGCTGTGCTTCTGCTGTCTCTCATGCCATATGGTGAGGTCTCTGTCAGGGTCTTGGGTCAAGGACGCACTCTACTCCTGTTTCCACATTTTAGGTATCTGTCAGAGTGGCACCGCATTCTCTCGTTACCAGATTCTGTTCTGGTTACCTAGTGCTGCTCTGACAGGAATATACCACAAATGGGATGGCCTTAACAAACAGGAGTTTATTCTCTTACAGTTTGGAGGCTAGAAGTTCAAGTTCAAAGTGCCAGGCTCTAGAGACTGTGTGAAAGCCCCTCAACCGTGAGGTCCAGCTCTGCCTCCTGCTCCTGGCCCACTGGAGCTAGAGGTGTTTCTTCACTCAGACAGCTGCTGGCTGATGAGGCCGAGAAGCCCAAGGTTGACAAGTAAAAAGGCACAGTCCCTTTGTTACCAAACCACACGGCAGGCCATTAATTCAAGTTCATTGTAAGTCAGCAGAGCATGGCAGGCTGCTGAACAACGACACGGCTACATGCAGGATCCAAGCATGCCATAAGCTAGAGACTATTCCCCAAGGCTTTTCCTTATATATAGGAAGCAGACCACATTCCCTAAGGCAGCTCCTCAGCTGCTCACAGTAGATTCCACCATGAAGATGATTACCAGTCTCATCATGGGGAATACTCATCCAGCTGCCCGGCTACTCGGCCAGGCCCAGCCAAGTTGACACACAAACTGAACTACCACAGTGCCTAAGACATTTGACTGCTAACCAGAAGGCTGGCGATTCAAATCCACCGGCTACTCCTTGGAAGGAAGATTGATTGGGCAATCTTCCGTAGAGATACCACCTCAAAACCCAAGGAGGGGTTGCTATGAGTCGTATCTGACTCAACAGCCGTGAGTTTTTTCAAGACTTTTAAGAAGTTTTTAAACTAAAAATACATCAACTCACATGACTATAAGCTTCAGGAATTTGCCATTTCAAATACCTTTGTATTTTAAAGATAATTTTAAAGTGTCTTTATATGTGTGTGTGTGTATAGCTTTTTATAGTAGAAAACATAAAATCAAACACTTGGGGGCAAACTGTATGTCACAAAGCTCTAGCCAACATTGCTGGGAAAATATTTAAGCTTCTTTATTCCTTAACACAAGGAGCTCTGATGTCATAGTGCCGAAGTCAGAACTGAATTGATGGCAGTGAGTTTGGTTTTATCCCTTAACATATCCCATTATTAGTATGTGCCTTTTAATATTTATTATGTTCATTCTTTATCATCATATGTATGTACTGCTTTAATATCTATCAGATAGACTCTGTGGGCTGCCACTAACTCAAAGTTGTTTTGCTGCTAATGATTGCTTGTATATTATGTGTATGGCATCAGTGTGGACCAAACCAAACTCACTGCCACTGAGTCGATTCTGACTCATAGTGACTCCCACCAGATTCTAAGGCTATACATCTTTACCAAGGCAGATTGCCTCATCTTTCTTCTGTGGAGTGGCTGGTGGGTTCAAACTGACCTTTTGGTTTGCAACCAAAATACCTTAACCACTGCACCACTAGAGCTCCTTAATGTGGAAGTTAAGGGCTTCTGTTTTTTACCCAGTCTGCCTGGCTTCACTTCCAGTTCTACCACTTAACAACTATATAGCCTTTGGTAGTTATTAAACTTTTCAATGCTTTAGAGTTCTCATCTCTGAAAATGGGCATAATAATAGTATGGGGAAATAGCACTACATAATGCAGGTGAACTGGTAAGCAGTTCTATTTTGATTAAAAAGAATATTGTTGAAGAAAGCACATACAGTTGTTTATAAGTTTATATTAATCAAATTTTTAAAATTGCTTAGGCATTTGTTAACTACATCAGCTTTAGATTAGTTAGGATTCAATTTATATTAGGGGAAAATAAACCTTTTTTTTTTCTTCCTTATTTGGGTCTTCATTCTTAAAGCAGAATAAACCAAATCAAACCAAACCCACTGCCATTGAGTTGATTCTGATTCATAGCGACCCCTATTAGGTTTTCAAGGCTGTAAATCTTTGTGGTAGTAGATTGCCGTGTCTTCCTCCAGCAGAGCAGCTGGTGGGTTTGCACTTCTAACCTTGCAGTTAGCAACCAGCTGCCTTACCCACAACACCACCAGAGTGCCTTAAAGCAGAATAGAGAGTATAAATCAGTCTTTTCATTTACTTTTTTAAGGAAAAAAGGAAATGAATGATGACAGTGGCATTTGTGTTGTTGTCTGCTAGGCATCTGCCTTTATTATGGAAATTAACTTACCTGAAATTAACTTATCTCAAAAGCATCTTGAAAGTTTTAGGATTTTTCTAAAACCAAACCATGATATGATATCATGACTTGTCCTGATAGGGAATAACAGAAAAAATAACTGGTATTTTAAAATCTTAGTAAGATCAGATTCTAATTGTGGCTTTCTGTGTGTGTGTGTGTGTGTGTGTGTGTGTACCCAAAATTAGTAATGTCCCATCAAAAAATGAAAAATGTGGTTTGGAAGGAAACTTTCTTTGTTGGCTACTAATGGTGGGGGGGATGGGAAAGAGAACACTGCAAAAATAAATAATAATGTGATTTTTTTTTTTTTTTTTTTTTTTTTAATCTACATTCTTAGGAGCATGGGTAACATAATAGGTAATGCTATAGAAGATAAGGGAGCTCTGGTAGCATAGTGCCTAAGGCACTTGAATGCTAACCAGAAGGTTGGCGGTTCAAACCCACCAGCCACTCCTCGGAAGGAAGGTTGGGCAATCCTACTTCCGTAGTGATACTGCCTTGGAAACCCAAGG